GGGGGGGGGGGGGGGGGGGTGTTTGCAATAATGAATCAGAAATTTAATGGAATGTTTTATATAGGGTACATTGATGAAGTAATGTTTAATTTCTTCGCGTCTATGGAATAAGAGAGGTGGAAAAATGGAGGACGTATGTTAAAAATAGGTGCATTCGAATAGAGAAAAAAGTAGTTTTTTTGAGGGCAAATTGGTAAATGTACTATTCATCCTATCATTTCTCTAAGGAAACAATGTACCACACATTTATATCCACAAAATATTATCTTGTGTCAATCATACACAACAAATAAAGTGTACATCATATCTCTACAATGCAATCTTCGAAGATATGATAAAAATTATATTGTCTCATCCACCCTAACAAACGTGCTGTTAGAGTTTGCAATTTTTAATTTTTTTGCACATAAAATTATATTACTTAAAAGTCGCAATTTTGCTATTTGTGATCTGTAATAACATTACAGATCCAGAATGTAGACCAATGCACGTTTCTTATTGAATTGCATCTAAAAAGACCTTATATTCCTCGATGGAATGAACTTGAAACATGGGAGGTATAATCTCTCTCTCTCTCTCTCTCTCTCTCTCTCTCTCTCTCTCTCTCTCTCTCTCACACACACACACACACACACACACACACACACACACACACACACACGCTTTGACAATCTTATTTGTTATTATCTACAAATAGTGGCAACATTACCTTATCTGGATCCAGAATTGCCACCTCCAAAGTTCCGGTCATTTTTTTATGCGGTACCTTTAGCAGCAGAAGAATGTATTTGTCTTGCACAAACTACTCAAGAAAATAACTAGATCATGAGACAAATGTGTGACATTAGATCTACTTATAGCAAACATTAGTCTGAAAGTTAGTGAACCCTATTGATACGAGATACTATACTAGTATATATTAGGTCGTGTGAGACTTAAGAACAGTTCGACCAATTCGAATGTGCCGTCAGGTTAGCAAGACGATAACAAGAGTAAAGGTCTCGAAACCACAAGGTCGATGACGACCATCAAGCAAATCAGTTCAACAACAGGTCGATCTAGGGCTTTCAGATAGCCTAATGAGAAGTCGACCTGGAAGCCAATTGGTCGACGTAAGACCTAAAAGGAAGTCTCGCTCATTAAAGGTCATAACAACCTAGTTCAAGAGAAACCAAACTAATAGCACAATTATGTTACCTAATGAGGTAGGCTAATGCGAACCCACCACATAATAGATAAGTGCGAATACAAAATGGATATGAAGCCACATAATAGATAAGTATGGTAAAAATTAGAGATTTCGTCCTGTAAGTGGCACCCATTTGAGGTTTGGTCCTCTCCGATGATCACTTCTGGATCACGTCTCGTAAGTGCACAAAAAATTAAAATTTCGTCCGGCCACCGGCTATAACAGGTAAATTTTACCGGCTAGCCTTCGTGGAATTTTTACCTGATTGGTTATATATTTGACTTCACTTTTATATCAATAAAAAACGTTTTATCCAAAAACAATATATATATATATACATATATATATGTATATATATTTCAATTTATACTACTTTTAAGTATAAAACTAATACCTAATTTATTTATTAAATATGTAATAATTACAAAAAAAAAATCAGTAAACTAAATAAATATTATTATATATTCAAATATCTTGTCTAATAAAACTTTTATTATTATTGTTGTTATTTTTTATACTAATTTATATTATAAATTTTAATATATATTAAAATATATTATATAATTTATTTGTTTATTTAATAATTAAGTATAATTATATATATATTCTATATTTATTTATTTATTTAAATATGTGAAAGTTAAATCATATTCTTTAATATTATATTTATCATATTATTTAATATTTTTATTTGCTTAGTAAATGTTTATTTAAATATATAAAAATAAAATATTAAAGAATATGATTTAACTTTCACATATTTAAATAAATAGATAAATATAGAATATATATATATATATATAATTATACTTAATTATTAGATAATCAAATAAATTATATAATATATTTTAATATATAAATAAAATTAATAATATATTAAATAACTAAATAAATACATTAAATCCAATAGATATTAAATAAATATATATTAAATAAATAATTAATAAATAAATTTTATTTATTTAAATACTTACTAAATAAATATTTAATATATTTAATTAATTTTTATTTGTATGCTAAATAAAGATATTAAATAATATAATAAGTAAGTATAATAAATATATTTAATATATATATATATATATATTATTAATTTATACTACTTTTTAATTATAAAACGAATTTAATTAGATACATATGTATAAATTATTTATTTTATACTATTTTTAATAATATACATATATATATATATATATATTACTTTTATTAAATAATACATGATATGTAATATTAAATTTTTTTTATTATTTGAATAAATATTAATTAACTAAGTAAATATCAATTAGTAAATATTTTCATTTATATAATGTTATTTCTTATTTATTACAAAAATAAATAAATATATTAAATAGTATAGTCTTATTTTTAATTAAATATACTGCTTTTAATTATATAATTATTCATATTTAATAATAATTATATATATTATGAAAATTTTATATATATTAATTAAAATTTACTAAATAATAAATATTTTGTAAAATTTATTAAATATATATATTAATAAATAAGTGTATTGAACAATATAGTATTATTTTCCCATTTATTATATAAATAGTTAAATATATTAAGTAATAAATACTACAATAAACTATCATTAAATAAAGGATATAATTAAAAAATAAATAATATAAATTATTTTTTATTTATTAATTTTATTTAAATAAATATATAAAATAATTTGATTTTATTTTAACATATTGAAATAATATATATATATATTAAAAATAATATTTAATAGTTAAATAAATAAATTAATGAAGTAATATATTTATTAATATATATCTATATATTTGTTTAAATTAATATAAAAAATAATATATATATATATAATAAATATATTAAATAAAAAAATAAAATTAATAATGTTTGTGGATATTGCATATTTATTTAATATATAAAAAAATTAATTAAAATTTAATAACATAAATTAGTATAAAAACAACATTAACGATAATAAAAGTTTAATTAACCAAGTTAACTAAATATATAATAAAATGTTCTTCATAGATATATAAGTGAAGTCACAAAATTAACATAAGTTGTGTTAAGTCAAGTGGCTCCTAAGACCACTTGAATACTCATGAACCCAGTTTGAAACCCCTCTTCGACATCTTTTTTTTTTTTTTTATATA